CAAAACCGCAGCTTTTCCCTCCCTCCATTTCTTTCGCCAAATCCCCATGGCTCTCCAAAAACCCTAAAGCAAGGACGCGTGGACATGCGCGACGCTTGCGGAAATCTCTGCTGTGTGATATCGTTTGCAGCGTCTGAGGTTTCCGCCGGCGAGGTTAGGAGGCAGAGGACAAGCTTATAGGCAGCAAGCTCGCCGCTTCGCCTCCGAGGTTGGCGATTCTTCAAAGTATTCTTTTTTCTTTTTTTAAATACCATTTGTCGTGTGCCTGCTGTTGTGATTGTTTTGGTTAATATTTGTAAAACCTCCGAAAATTTCTACAATACAATAGATATGAATATTAGTAAATAAATAATTCTTTTATGATAAATAGCCTTAATGCTCATTGATGTGCATGATAACAAGTTTATTTGACAAATGCATATGGAGCAGGAGGGGGGATGGCTGCTCGTGTAGAGGAGCATTGTGCTGGTTGGATTTTGGCAAAATCAACGCAAAACATGCACAAAGAACTGGGAATTTTCCAGATCAGTCGAGCACATCAGTCGACTGTATCAGGTACTCGGTCGAACACATCGATGCTCGACCGATACGCTTGATTGTTCCAGTTTTTACAGGTTTCGCGCCTGGTAACGATAGAAACGTACCGGGGGTAGGCACGCAAGAGGAGGCCACCTAGTCTACGGTGCGGATGTAGAGCGGTTCGCTGAGGGCGCGTCACCGTGGTGGTCTCGGCACAGGAGTAATGTTTTGTTTTTGCGTTCGGGTTGGGGTTCGGGCTTTTAGCTGTTTTGTATATTATCCTTCTTGCCACCGAAAACATCCCTCCCTCTCCATCCTCAGATCAGAATTAAACCCTAGCCCCCTCTCCCCTCTTTCAAACCCTAGCGCTTGTTCCTTCGTGATTGGGGAAAGAAATCGGAGGAGGATTTTCGGCTCGGGACTTTTCAATTGCCCACGCCGAAAAGCGAATCAACTCCCCTCAGATCCAAGGACCTCTTCAATCACCTCAAAGAGGCCCCGAGTTAACATCTCGCCCAACCCTATCATGTCCGCATTCTTCTTGTAAACTTTTTCACATGGTTCTATTGCAGATTTCTGTTTGGATTTGTAGGCGTCTGAAAGGAAAATTAAGGAAACTGGAGTAAGGAAGGGAAGGAAGGGAAGGGGAGTTCCCTTCCCCTTAGGTTACACCATAATGTTGGGCTGGGGTTTTGTCGCTTGTTTTGGTAAAGAAATGGAAGGAGGGTTTGGCGTCGGTGGAGGAGGCGGAGGCGGAGGGTTTGGCTTCGGTGGAGGAGGCGGAGGTTTGGCGTTGGTGGAGGAGGCGACGAAGGAGGGTTTGGCGTCGGAGGAGGAGACGGCGGAGGAGGGTCTCAGCTGGAAGAAGTGGTGACGGGGAGAGAGGGCAAGATTACCCCATGTGTTGTTCCAGCAAAAGAATTGGGACAATTTTGAGGGGGTATTGAGGAATGTATATATAGTTGGAGTAATTTTAGGGGAAGTGAGGTATTTGTCCCCAAATTATCCCAACAAACCAATAACACCATAATGTTTACCACAGTTCCAATTACACCAATGAATAACACCAAAAAGTGGTGTTCCAAAAATTATCCCATTATCCCAATTTTTACACCAATGAATAACCCCCCTTAGGGTTTTAAATGGCGGATTCTTCTTTCCTTGTGGGGCAACGGTATAAGATATTAGGTTAAACGGGTATTTACATATTAGTCCCAAAAATCTGCAAATAAGGAGGCTTTGGTCTGGGTGCATGAATTACCCGATTCCTATTCAGACTAGATGCTTCTTTATTTGAGATTATTAGATTTTCTGTAAATATATCCGTATTATAGGGGAAAATTAGGTGTCCTTTTATCCAAGACTGGTTATCAAAATAAATAAATAAAATAGTCATGGTCGCTTGCTCTGCTTGATTTTAGTTGCAACATTGAGCATGTTCGTCCGTGGCAACCAGAAATACGAACACGATACCTAGTTGATGTAGGGCATATAACAAGCAAATCCATGGAGAAGTTTGACCTTCGTGAGTCAAATGTTGATGTGGATGAATTATTTACTTGCGTGCCAAAAAAATAAACATCATATTATCTCCTTGTTTGAAAGGTGAATTCTAATATACTATATATGAAAATTGTCTATCCCTATGAGATGAAGTAATTTAAATTGACAAACTCCTGAAATCACATCAAAATGATTGATTTTTTGGCAAAATTTTAAATATAATCAGCATTTAGTTTATTTTTAATGATAAAGTTGGAGTCGATTTAGATTAGGAGACAAACTTAATTTTGATTGATGTTGGATTGATTTGTTTCCTATATTTTGGTGAGTTTTGTTGGGATAAGATTTCATACTTTCTATTTCTTTGTAATTCTTATCTTATTAGGAGCCTAGTTTAATTTTCTATTTAAGAAGAGACATATTCATATATCCTCAAAATTATTAGGTAACCTTTGGTCAATAAAACTCCTCTTTTTTTTAGTTTCTTCGTTGATTTAAAAGTTCATAGATTTCTAAGGTAGCCTTTTAATTGTCCTTGCTGCTTGGTTTCTCTTGCCGTATTGGAATTTTGTTGATTATGACAGCAAGTGACACGAATATAGTTCTCCCCTCTGAAATCATATATGATATCCTTTTGAAGCTTCATGTCAAGACTCTCGCCAGATTCCGCTGCGTCTGCAAATCATGGCAAGCTCTGATCTCCGACCCCATCTTCATCGAATCCCATCATCGTCGATCCAAGCAAAACCCTCTCGTCCTACTTTCCCGCCGCTGTCATCCCGGCGGAGGCCTCCGCTGGTTCTCCACGCACGGCGATGCAAAAGAATTCGTGTCCATGAATCCTCAACCTAATAATCGCCTTGTCACGTTGCCTACTTATCTCGATCTCGTCTGCGTGTATGACTCTAGCAGAATCTACCTTTGCAATCCCTCAATTGAACAACTAGTCTGTCTGCCCGTAGAATCTCCAGTATACAAATCATCCTTCCATCAGCATCATGTTGGGCTGGGGTACATCTCTTCCATAAAAAAGCACAAACTTCTTCGCATAATTAGCCCCGACAGAGACAGTGCTGAACATGGTATGGACCGTCACTGTGAGGTCTTCACAGTGGGCGCCAAAAACAGTCGTTGGGGAACAGTAGCGAACCCTCCATATAAAATCGTCGCCCATGCAGCTTGTGTCGATGGAGTCATTTACATGCTACCACATTATCTCGGGCTCCAGCCTTTTATTCCCAGAGTATGTTGCTTTGATCTTGAGAAAGAAAAGTGGTCTGAGCTTCAGACTCCATGTCAAATCCATCCTGATAATATCGTACACATATGCTTCGTGAGGAAGGTTGTAGAAGAGTGCCTATGTTTGGTCGACTTTGGTTTGAGTGCCTTACACCGAATGGACGTGTGGTTTCTATCAGACAGAAACAAGAGCTCGTGGGTGAGAGAGTGCCACATTGACATTTCCTCGCTGAGTAGCGTTCGACATGTGATAATGTCGGTTTTTCCTCTTGCCGTAGACGAAGATGGGAGAATTCTTTTAGGCTGTGTTTGGTTTGAGGTAAAATAATAGAAAGGAAAAGAAAGTATAAAAGAAAGTTGCTTTCCCTTGTTTGGTTTGAAAGAAAATCAGAAGTAAAATGATTATTAGATTCCCTGAAGAAAAACCCTCACGCAATTTTTCTGTTCACCTTTCTCTGCTCCACGCTAGCGAAAACGAGAGAGATCGAGAGAAAATCTCGCTCGTCGCCTCCTCCCAAAATCCCGACTCATCCGATCCTCTAGTTCGTCTCCATCCCCCCTCTCTACTTCAACATCAATCAAACCCTAGGTCGAGCCTGATGCAAAGCCTAGTTCGATGCCAACGCCCTAGTTCAGTGTCGATGCAAACCCTAGTTCGACATCCATAAACCCTAGGCAACCCTAGTTCGACATTGGTTTCCTTCGATTTGCTCAATATTTGATGCCAGAGCTCTTTGATCAAATCCTAGTTCGCCGGAGCTCTCTCTCTCTCTCTCTCTCTCTCTCTCTCTCTCTCTCTCTCTCTCTCTCTCTCTCTCTCTCTCTCTCTCTCTCTCCCCCTACGATACAATTACTCAAGCAAAGGTTTTTTTTTCTTCAGTTCATCATCAGAGGTATAATTTTGTTAATTTGCTTTGGCTTTGAACATTACTCTTGCAATTGATACAATTTGGTTCATAATGCTTGCAATCAGTATACTTTGATTCCTACTGCTTGTAATTGGTACAATTGGGTTTGTAGATTTATACCTGGAATTGATGATTTTTTGTAAAATAAGAATTAATTTCATGAATAAGTTCTAGCTACTGATGTGAAGAGTATTTCATTAGCTTTATTAGTGACGTTGATATCTAAATAGTAGATATACATCATCAATAAATAGTAGCTACTGAATATAGTTTTCTTTTTGTTATGATTTGATTATAATTTTCCCCTAGAAGACTCCAAAGCTAGAAGTTTTTTCTAAGAAACTAGGATGAACTTGATTTTAGATTCTGGACGAAGTTCGCCTTGTAAAGTTGCTTGACCAATGCAATGGATAAAATCACAAGGTCAGGTTACTGAAGGGAAATCCGGAGCTTGTTCCGTCGATACTGACCCTCGCACTCAATGATGCTGTGACTTATGACAAGGTCAGGTTACAAGCCTTAAAAATTCAGTATGACCTCCTCCTGATGATTCTTTAATCGATTTGTTGGCTTAAATTTTTTAGGCTACGAAATCTTGGGGGCCAAATGGATCAATCCGATTAAGGTAAACGAGACCGTAAATTTGACTGATTAATAAATTAACATTTTAAGTGTTATCTTATCTGGTACTTGTGCAGCAGTATTAAGTCTTGCTCTCGTTTTCTTCTTCTTTAATTTTTCCCTTCGCCAATGGAGTTCGGAGATGAGCAGGCCTGAAAACAGTGGGCTTTCTTCTGCTATGAATCTGTTGACAACGAAAAAGGAAATTGATTCTTATTCCAAAGGAGGACCTCTTGCATTTGCAGACCTCATCCAATATGGGGGTAATAAACTATGTTTCGTAGCTTGAAATTGAAATCCACCATATCCAACAATCATTTAACCAATCATATTTTAGAGTATCTTTTTTATCCTGACGCGCTGAAATATGCGACAAATCTAGCAAGATGCTCTTCTCAATGTGTTGGTTTATCTTTCCTGACACAGCACAAGCTGCCGTGAAGAAAACCTTCCTTGATTCTGCCATTCGCAAATGTGGCGGGAATGAGGAGAAGGGAAGATTACTATATACAGCATACGGTTCGACTGGCCAGGTTCATTTCATCTCAGTGATGTTCTTAGTTAAATTTCTGTTTCTGTTGGCAGTAAACATTTATTTCTAGTCCTTCACTATAACATTGCTGAAAAGCTTTCTATGATTAACAATATACATGTTTTTCCCCCACTTTTAAGTTTGAGCCTATTGACCTGTTGCAATTTCTAATGTCAACAATGGGGCTTATTTGATAGACAATTTGGACGATCTGACGCTCAGGAACCTGATCCAGAGGGGCGTATTCCGCAGTGGGACAAGGCTTCAGTCCAGGAAATGAAGGATAAGTTCTCTAGCATTGGTTTCGGCCCTCGCCAGGTGTATAGCCTTGGCACCCTTAAGTTGTCCTTTTTTTTCCCGATAGCCCGAATATTATTTTACGAGCATGTTTATGCTACACTGACTTGAGAAGCGTAAAACCCTTAGCATATAACGTTGGATCCACAAATTATTTGCCAACTTTTCCAAGTCATCAAGTTGGATACACAAATAGGTGTTACTGTTCTTCTCATGAAAAGCCTTTTGATACAGTTCTAAACTCTAATAACAGGCTAACTATATTTCGAATAGCACATTTTCCTCTCTTCGTAATGTATAATTGTCAAATGCAGTAGTTTAAGAGCTTTGGGAGGTCCACGACTAGCTGGAAGCAAGTTGATGAGGAGTTAAAACTGCAATAGGAATAGTCATAAGTATTGTCAGAAATTAGTACCAGCATAGGTAACATCCAGAGCTTAAATTAAGGTTTGAAATCTCAGTACTTGGTCAGCTCATCCAGAGCTTAAATTATCAAAACGAATTTTCTTAAGCAGGTCACGGTGATCTTAAAATGAATTAAACTTTGCGAGACACGTTTACTTTGCTTCACAATTTTTGAAACATGATAAGATCAGCTCACCAGACCATGCATGTTCATGACTAGCTTGTTTTAACTTCATGTTTAGATTTGAAAGCTTCTTAATTATGTTTTGTGTAGGTGGACAAGGGACAAGAATGAGGGAGGAAGTAGAATGCTAATCATGCCTCCTGTATTGTTCCTCTCCATTGGAATTGCTTGAAGTTGTGACTGTTGGTTGTTGCATCAAAGTATCTGTTCCTATATTCATGTGTATTTTCATGGAAAAGCCAAATGAATAAGCACTAGGATTTCATAGCTGTTCGGAAAATACTAGTCTAACTATGATATGAGACTTGTTATGTGAATGCAAATTAATTTCTGATGTTTTGGCTGTCTACAAGCCACTTTCATCATTTCTGATGATTAGTCTTAATAAAAGAACCATGACACAACAAGTGGTAGTTTCATTTTTCTTCTAAAAGAATGTTAAGACTTTATTTTATAGGTTTTTGATGTTTATATTGTACTTATTTGAATTTTTTGAATTAATTTCAGAGGATGAAGGATGTGAGATTGATGTTTCGAGGGGCTCACTAAAGTCAAAAATCAAGGACTTCGGCAGATTTATCTGTCTCTCTCTCTCTCGCTCTGTGTGTTTAAAATTTTCTATATGAAATTGATTGTAACAAACTTTGTTGGTGAAGATTTTCTAGATGAAATTGATTGTAATAGACTTTGTTGGTTAAGATTTTCTATATGAAATTGATTGTAATAGAATTTGTGACTAGAATTGGATTATACTTTTTATTCGGAATATCATGACATTTACTTTAGATTAGTTTGGGTTCTTTCATTCACTTTTCTTTCTGTAAATATTATGAGTGAGAAATGTTGTTCTCTAATTAGTAGAATTGTGGTTGTGCTTCTGCTTGTTATTATTTACGAACATGATGCTGATGACCACTCAAGTTTTTGTGTTACAAAATTGCCAATTTTTTTTCAATACATGTTTATTAACTTGTTACTTCCCATGATATGAATGATACTCATTTTAAATAATTATGCTTGAACTGCATCATTTTCTAGACCTTATTCGAAATCATCTTTCTTCACATGAGATTATGAATAACTGGCAAGTCCAAACCCATGTAAGATTATACGCAAATTAGAATCATAATAAATTTGACTCAATTTTCTTGAGTTAAGATTGTGCAAACATATTCGGTAACTTATAATTTTTTTTCAAAATATGGTAAAATCACAATTTAATTTAATTATATTTTGTAAATTGTTTAAAATCTAAATCTAATTCTAAAAAGTATGAATTAAAATTATGCTATAATAATATTCTTCCTCATTTTCTCAGAAAGGTAACCAAACAAGAGAAAATGATTTTCATACGAATTTTCTTCTAACTTTTATTACAATATTCTTTCTAACCAAACAATAGAAAGAATGTCATTTTCTTTTCTTTTTCTTTTCCTTTCTTTTTATTTTCTCTTTCCTTTTCTTTTCTCTCCCTTTCTCTCAAACCAAACACAGCCTTAGTGTTTTCCGATGAATTTTTACAATTACAAAATGCTAAAAATAGATCCTTGATCTATTTTACATCACTATCATCATCATGAAGTAATTGCTCTTTTTTCAAAGCCAAATATTTGGGTGGAATATGTTGCGTCTGCCTCAAAACCCTAGATTCTTCTCTACAAAACCCCGAAAAGGTAAACTCTAAACGATTAAATCCTCTAAAAAAAACGGAAAAAACCTTTAATCTCTATTGAGATCAATTGATTTCCCCTTTCAGAACTCAATGCCGATCCAAAATGGAAGAAGCGCCTCGCCGCACCCCCGCAGATTCGAGGGAGTTGCTTCAAAGTACTATTCTCTCCGGCGCTTTCCAGCTTCCCTCCTCTCCGTCGATGCCAGAAGCGGCTCTCCGCCGTGCCCTCCCTTCTCGTGGACCTCCAGGCGGAGTCAAGGCCTCAATCCCCCCCCCCCTGGTTTTTAAGAATTCATATTCGTCTATTTGGAAATAAATCATCACATTAAGCAGCAGCTTCCCAGTTTGTGTATGGAAATGTCAAATTTTTCACAGCATTGTTTTAACAAATCATTATTGTCTACCGTGGATCTGAATCCAATGGAACAGGTATTTGAGTGCACATCAATAAGATCCACAGTTCAGATCCGGGGTAGCCAGCAATGCCCGCATAAATGGAAAATTTGCGCACCACAAATGAAAGGGGGCTAGTGCATGTTAAAATGGTTCCTTGCCCTTTCTCGTGGATTGTACTCGGTTTTCAGATTATTTGGGTTTTTTTTATCAAACATCCATATCCGATTGGAGGGTCACATTCATACCTGTATCGAAAATCAAGTACTTGTATATGAAAAGAAAATAGAATCAAAGTCATGTAATCAATAGAAATTGGAGTCATGGGAAGTAGGTCTGGCTTAAAAAAGAGTTCCTGAGCTTTATTTTCTAGGCTAAATATGCTTACATGACTACGGAGAAGAGTACCCAGTGTAATGACAGTGACCGTTGGCATTTTCTGATTGATAGGATCAGAATTACATACTATGTGATGTTCATGATATGATAAATTTATAGCGATAGACTTGAATTTGTGAGGGTGTGTGTGACGCACACACATGCACACATAGACATACACAAACACAAAGACACCAACATTTATATAATACGTGCTTGTGCATGGGCTTGAGATACTTTAAGACATTCAGACATGTGATACTTGTTTACCCTCGGGAACACTTCCTGGCTATACATTGTGTCGTCCGTATACTAACAATGCACTTAATTTAGTTCAAGCACACTGTACTCGTACAAAATCAGAAGTCTTAAGCTTTGTGGAGAAGGTGGGTTTTACTCCTTTTCTTTGAAAAATGTCATAGTCTGATCTTGAGCCTAGGCTACATTTTTAACCTAACCAATACTCTACCAAGGAGCAAGGCTTCAGTGGCAGGAGAAGATAGACTGAGCTCTCACCAGTCTCATTTCTAACAAGTTTGAATGTTATTTTAGATCATTTTTGTGATCCTCTTTTAGTCTCTCGAGGTGCTTTATCCTTACTTGTGAATACAAGTTTGTTGTCTTGGAGGTGCTCGTCACTTTCAAGCAATTGCTGTATAGATCTATTTTCCATGTCGGATCATCATTTAGTGTCTTCTGGCAGACAGAAGGCTTATATACATGATTGAATAATACATATCTTTTTTCTTAAAATACGGGTACATTTTCAAATAAGTAAGACTCTCCAATTAAAGGCTTAGTGTTGTGATCACCTTGTTATGTACAGAAAATGTTCACATATGGATGATGTCAACAATAGCAGTACTTGTCTGTTTCGGATTGTTTTCACCCGCACTTTCTAGGATTTAGCTTTACTTGACTGCAGATTTAAATCCTTCTTAATGATCTTTATGTGCAGAATATAATTAAACAACATCATTTCCGCTTTCTCCCAAAAAGAAGTTAAGATTATTTTGGCGACTATGAATTTATTTTCTTTTCGACTAATATCCTGTAATATGCAGCTTATTTATTTATGAGAACTTTAAAAAAGGAGTCATCTAAGAAGGACGATGAAAGCAGGATAGGGACTTCTTTTCCTGTGTAAGCATGGTAGCTGCAGTTGCAGAGAGAACTGTACAATCAACATGACATATTGCTCGAGCACAAGATGCTGAATATCAATAAAAGGGCGATCCAAGCGTGGTGGCCTATAGAAGAGTATTCTATCTATTCAAGGCTGAACATAACTATAAATGTATGTGATCCTCATTCTTTTCATGATTTTGAGACTTGCTGCTTCTTTAACAGTAAGGTGCAATACCTGAGGGTTAATCATATAATAGCTGACGTGGGAAGACGGTGATGACTCACAGAGTAATGCTAATTGTACTATGAATCTCATACTATATTAATACATCAAGATCCATTTTTGAAATCCTTTCTCTTGAATAGCGATCACAGTCCATGTGTACCTATGTTTTAAGATGTTTGAAGTCTTCAAGTTTTAAAATATGAGATGTGTAGTACATCTAGAATACTTATATCCACTCTCGTGACGACAACAGGACCACAAAATCTAGTGGGAGGCTTTCATGATTTTTTGCAAGCCTATTAAGAATTCGGATTTCTGCTTTTATGCGTCCGCAAGTTTCTCTAGCGGGAGGCTTTCATGATTTTTTGCAGGCCTAATAAGAATTTGGATTTCTGCTTTTATGCGTCCGCAAGTTTCTCTCCACAAAACTGAGTCGAGATTAATCATGACCCAGTTTTAAAATAAACGTGTTCTGTTTTGATCTTAGGGGAGGGTGGATGAAAACAGAAGGTTTTACCAGGGGTTTTTTGGCCCAAAGAAAATTGGACGAACATGCCCAGTTTTTGGATTAGATCATTCTTGATGATTCTATTTCGAAGGTCGTATTTTCTGAGCTTGCCAAACAGGCCCTAGAACTGGCTAGAAACCCTGCACAGGGTTATTGTCTGTCTCTTGCTGGTCATTTATTATGGCCTTTGATTGATAACAAAGTGTTGCTTGATAGTTTTAACAATAACATATACTGTATGAGTTCATACCCCCAAGAGTCTGGCTAAAATTTCTGTTAGCGTAGGAATATAGAACAATGAGATCCTTAAGTAACCCGAGAGCTCAGAACCCACCTGGTGAAATCATGAACCGCGAACAGACATTTGAATGGGCAGACCGGAATAGAAGGTCGATGATCCACTATGAGACTGTAAGACAACTCGTTGAGGTTTCGAGTCTGCGTATAAATGGAAAATGATAAGGTAACCATATAAGGATGGCACTTGTGCAAATTTGTAATGTCACAATCTGCAGCACCGATAGAAGGTATAAACAGGTGAGTAAGGCTGACCTAAACAGCTCGTGCTCGCAAGCCTGCATCGTTGTCGTTCTTTTGTCTCAATCAAATTTAGATCTTCAATACACCCAAAACTGCTGTGAAAAAGGTATATGAAGTAGGGGTGAGCACGGTTCGGTTCGGGTCGGTTTTTACCAAAATTTGAACAACCGAACCGAACCATCTACAATTCAAAACCGAACCGAACCATTACAAATCGGTTCGGTGCGGTTCGGTTCGGTTTGTTCGGTTCTAACTTTATCAAGTATAACTTCACTTCAATTTATCTTTTATATATTATTATTACCCTATGCCAGCATGTATTTGTTTTTTAACTTCACTTCAATTTATTATTCTTGCTCATGTATGTATACTGTTTTTAAGTGAAGTAACTTGTCCTTTTGGATTAAATACTAGACTCTGACGTTGTAATTTTTTAGTAACGGACTTGCTTTGTCTTTGTGTAGCAAGCTTTGACTTTGGTCTTTGTGGAGACAAAAAAAGGAGTTGACTCATTAGAACATTGGTTATGTATGAATCAATTCCCTGCAACTGCTATTCATGGTGATCGAACACAGCAATAAACCCACAAATCAAAGACACAAATATATTCGGTTGGTTCGGTTCGGGTCGGTTTGAAAAATTGTCAACCCGACCCGAACCGCCTTACTCATAAAACCGCTTTTTTCGGGTCGGTTCGGGTCGGTTCGGTCGGTTTTTTCGGTTTGAACCGAACCGTGCTCACCCCTAATATGAAGTTCTCTCCAGAGTGACTGTCACGCTCGGGGCCCGTTGGCGCGTGCAAGCCGTGGGACCCACCGAGTGTAATGCACTGTTTGGCTCAAACCACTGTCAAAATTGACTAGCCGATGTTACATTTGAGTCTTTAGCTTTCACTATATAAACACCTCAACTTCCACTCTCCCACCGATGTGGGACTAAATTAGT